GGGGAGGGAGACCGACTGTCTCTGCTCCCAATACAGACTCCTGCTGCTGGGGAAAGGAGACTGGGCTCTCTATTCCCTGTAGGACACTTTGCCGCTGGGGAATGGAGACTGGGCTCCCAATTCCCTGCTGTATCTCCTGCTGGGGAATGGAGACTGAGCTCCCAATTCCCTGTAATTCACACTGCCGCTGGAGATCTGAGCCGACTGCCCAGCATCCCTGTAGCTCACCCTGCCACTGGGGAGGGAGGACGCTGCCCTCCTCTCCCTGCAAGGTACACTGCCGCTGGGGGACAGGACCAACTATCTCTGTCCCCTGTAACTCAGCCTGCCGCTGGGGAATGGAGCTTGGGCTCCCAATTCCCTGCAATATCTCCCGCTGGGGAATGGAGACTGGGCTCCCAATTCCCTGCAGGTCCAGTGGAGAGACCTCGGTCCCATCTCCACCAGCCACCTGGGGTTCTTCCCAGTAACATTCTGCAATATCTGCCCAGCTGAATGGGTCTGGATCTGGGTCTCCGCTTCCCTGCTGAGCCTTCTCACTGGCGTGGAACAGATCTTGGTAGCCCTGCTCCAGCTCCATCTCTCAGGTCACTCATGAGTGTCGTCCCAGTCATCCCTGCTCTCCCTCCACTCCAAGAGATCACTGAACCGAGTTTGTGTAGAGCTCCCAAACTCAGGCTCTAAAAAAGAGCCTCCCATAACAAACCACGCCCATCAAACTCCTCTCCCTCTGGCTTGTCATGCTCGGCTGTCCAGGGCAGGTACTGTGCCCCATACCACCAGAGCGCCTGGTAGGCATCTTCCAGCCAAATCTCCTGCCATACCCGGAGCTCATATTCCTTCACCCATTCGTCCAGGGGCTGCTCTCCCAGGACGGGCATCCGCAGGGCTAGTCGCTTCTGCAATAGCTGGTCTTCCTTGGGGAGTCTCTCGCCCCGCTGGTACTCCACGATACCGAGTGCCTGGTACCAGATGCCTTTGCGAACTGCATCTCGGTCATCCATGACACCCTCATCGTACTCGACTGCTGGTTCCATCCTGGTGCTGTCAGGGTCGCTGTACTGGGACATGTGTTTCCCTCAAATTGTAAAATCCAAAGAAATGGTGTCTCCTGTAGCTGTCCTTCTGGCTGTAGGAACGATCCCGCCGCTTGCCACCAATTGTAACGGCACCCTCAGCATAAAAGGGTTAAACCGACATTTAGTAGATCTTCCCTTCCAGAGACACAGGCACAGCTACTGCAGAACACCAATCTGCCGAACAGGAAACCATATGAATGCCGTAAACACCCGAATAGTAAAAACAATACGAATAGGTTTACACTCCTAGCAGTCAAACTGGAACAGCATACAGTAAATCCCCCCAAGAACGAGACAAAGCTCCGTGTTGAGGGTCAAGCAGTGAACAGTCAGAGCTGTGGATTTATTGTTCTTATATACACATAAGTACCACTTTAGTAACCCCTCTCTCTGTCCATTGGTCCAGTGGTAAGTCTTGCGTTCAATATTTTAAGCTGTCTAGAGAGGCATACATGCTCGTGGATTTTGTCACCATTTTGGGGCACGTTTTATTCAAGCACGGAGAGATACCTTTTTGGGTGGTGATAAGCTTATTTGCCTAGGATGGAATTTGCCAGATCAGGTCTATTATTGAGTGTGGTGCACTGATTGTATTTTCTAACTGATGCCACAGCCGGGCCATTGGCATCGCAATGAGTCTTGCTGTCTGTGCCAGGATAGTAGCTAGATAATACTTAGAGATGTTGATTACCTCTACTTCACCCACTTCCATACCCAAGCTTATGCTTGACAGAGAAACCCTTGGTTTCTTTTTCCATATGCGTGCATTCAGTAGGTGTTGGAATTGTGTTAATATCAGTTTGGGCACTTCAGTTGGTAGGGCTCTGAAAATGAATAGTACTTGTGGAAGAACAATAATTTTTAAGGCATTTATCCGACCCAACCACGAGAAGTTTTTGTCCCCCCAGCTCTCCAGCATCGTTGTGAGTTTTGTCAGTAGTCGGCTGTGGTTATATTTTAATAGCATATGTTTGGAGGGTGCTAACTGCGTTCCTAAATAAGTAAGGGTGTCTTTCCTCTATTCAAATGGGTAAAGTGCCCGCAAATCAGTAAGGTGGGGGTGTGGTATGTTAACAGGGAGTACCTGTGTCTTGGCTGCATTGTTTTTATAGTAGGATACATGTCCGTAGTTGGGAAGGAGAGTCAGAAGTGGCGAGAGGGAGTCATTGGGTTTCGTAAGGAATCGTCTGCAAACAGGGCTATATTTTGGGGGCCGATTCGGAATGGTACCCCAGTTACAACTTGATCAGTTTGGATTTTGTGGATCAAGGGCTCTAACGCCAAGATAAAAATAAGGGGCGAAAGGGGGCAGACTTCTGCTGTCTGTTCTTTGTGGTCTATAAGCAACTCGTTGAGTCGCCAAGTTCCCCGCCCCCTGTTTGGATGTAGCTTAGTGAAAGTGGTCAAGAGGGGTGCATGGTCCGACTAAGTAATAGGGGCAAGGGTAACCCCAGTGAGTGTGTCTAAGGTTTTTGCACATGTCTATTCGGGTGTATTGGTTATGGACCTTCGAATAGAAGTTGTAGTCCCTAGTAGCTGTGTATAGTAACCGCTATGTGTCGTGTAGGCCATGAGAGTGCAGCAAAGCTGATAGCTCTGCGCTGAGGGGTGTTACACAGTTAAAATCACCACAAATAAGCATTTGTCCCTTCTTTAGCTTGTCTAGTTTGTTCAAAGCTATTGGTTGGTGTTGGGGGGCTATTGGTTGGCTATAGCCACTGGGATATCGTTAAGTAGTCCCACCAATATAAGGAGTCATCCGTCATTAGTTTTGTACTCTTTCTCACAGTGAAAAGTCCAGTCTGAGTGGAACAGTATGCTAACGCCTAATTGGGTGCTAGTGGATGATAGGATAGTGGGTACCTGGATGAGGAGAATTTGGTGGTGTTTGTGACAAAGAATGCAAGCACCAGACGCGTGTGACTCACACGCCTGGTGAAAAGCAAGTCTGTGCTTCTGCAGGATATTGAGAGCGTGGACGTTCAGGGACAGTACATTAAATTGTTGAGAGAGAGTCATCTGTGAGGTGAGTGGGGTGGCATGGGAACCTGCTGGCATTGTATTTCTGTTTCTGTACAGCCTAGTGAGAGACGCCCATGGCACTCGATGAGGAGAGGAAATAGGGTGCACATGGCGGCAGTAATGTGCCACGAGTGTAGTCGGCCTAAAGAGAGGTGTCCCTTAGGGAAAAGCAGGGCGTATGAACATTTATGTATAGTAAATTAAAGTTTATTTATTTTTTGGTCAGTTTGTCCATTACACGGGGTCCCAAAGATCACCTCATGAGTTGGAAACAGTCTGGGGCAAAACGAAGTAGTAGAGTCATTTCAGTTTCTGTACTTTTGTCCATTCCGGGTTCACTCTTACCGGGGAGGCAGGGGTGGCAGTCGTCTTCTCCTGAAAGTGTCTCCATGAGCGCAGCATATTCATGCCCTGGTCCGGCTTATCTGTTTTTGTAAGGGATCTGTTGCATCATATCAGGAGTTTCTTGGGGAAACAGCAATGGTAAGGCACTTTTTTGTTGCAGAGGCATTTAGTAATGTTGACAAAGTCTTTCCTGTCTGGCCATTGTAGTGGTTGAAAGGTCGGCATACAGGGCAGCCCCAGTGTAGGTTGGTGGCATCACTGCAGCCTTCCTCTGTGCTGTCAGTATGGCTTCTTTGGAGCTATAATAGTGAAGCCTAGTAACAATATGTCTCGGTACATCTTGCGCCAGGTTCTTGGGCATGGGTACTTGTTACGCTCTGTCCAGAGGTAGGTCTGCTATACCCAGGGTTGGTTGTATTATTTGAATTAGCTGTTGCAGGTATTCTGGCAGTTGCTCAGTAGTGATGGTCTCCGGGACCCCACGCACACGGATGTTATTGTGGCACGAGGGGTCTTCCAGATCCGCCATTTTTTCCACCAGTCGCTTGTGGTCTGTTTCCAACTTGTGTATTTTATTTACAATTTATTTGTTGGCTAGGCAGAGCTCATCCACTCTCTCTCCTCCAGTGCGCCCATATGCACGCCAATCTCTTGCACCTCCTTGCGGATATCATCCACAGCATGAAGTCTAGCCTTCATACAGGAGCGCAGCTCACGTAACATAACTAGCCGTCTTTCTGATAGTGAAATGTCGCCAGGATTTGTCTGCAACGTTATAGACTCTATGAGCGATATGGAATTATAGCTTCCACATAGTGAAAGGTCCCTATCTGGCTTGGGAATGACACTAAATTGATGCTTTTAGAGTCGGTGGTGCCAGTTGGTCTTGCGGGGAACCAAAATTTAAATGTTTTGTAATAAAAGGTTGTAAATTCATCTGGGCCAAGACTTTTGATTTAAGAGCAGAAGTGAGTTCCTCTACAGCAAAAGGCACATCTAATTCCTCTGCTACAGTACTAGAGATGGTCTACTGGAGATGAAAGAGAATGTATTGCAAAACTGTGTCTCTGTGTTTTTTTGGGGAAACAAAGTATAATTTAGGTGCTACTATCACCTAGTGTGAATCACTCCAACACACCAAATATCAATAAAGTGCAAAATATAAAATTGTGGTGAGAGCACTCAAAACATGCAAATACAATATTTTACCAGAACTTTGTTTAGTTGAAATATCTAAAAAAACATAAAACACAAGAACATAGTGTAATATTGTTTAAAATGTGTGCAAATGTTTTTATGTGACTGGTTAAACTCACATATTGCTGAGTCACTTTAAAAGCTGACTCAGACTTAGGGCTTGTATGGAGATGAGAAATCTCAATTCTGGACGTCCTGTACCAATCTTAATGGATCCGCGCTGGAAATACTTTCTGAAATCACTCCAGGATGCAGAATCAAATCCAAACTGGTTTTATTATTAAAATACTACATAGAAAATAAAACTAGTAATAAATACAGGCCAAATGTCCTTTATACCACGACGCGTTTCGGCACTCACAGCCTTTCTCAAGTGGTCTGTTTCTCATCTCCAATTTTTTTCCTTTTATGTCTTCAAATTTTAGCGCCCTTTTTCGGCGTCCCGTATGTCTTCCGTTTTCGTCATCATTCGGCGTCTGCCGGTTATGTTGCGTGATGACGTTACCGTTTGCATCATTATTCCTTGCCCAAACGGCCCCTACCTCATGACATCTTCCGGGCGCCGAAACCGGAAGTGTTATCGGCGCCATTTTAAAAAGTCTCTTGACATAAACATTGCCAGTCTTTTATCCATTTTTGCTTTTAACATTTACATACACTCTATATATTTATCTATAGAAGAGGAAAGCCCACATTAACAGATATTATCAATGGAATTCATAAGATAATCATAAAAAGAGGTACTGCTCACCTATTTAAAAAGGAAGGAAGAATATGTCATTAGAAAAAGCCCTTTAAACAATGGGGGAAACAATCCTTACACATAAATTAAATTAAAATTATATTTAAAATTATATAAAAAATATTTTATATAAAAGATACCTTTAAAACATATAAAACTATATACATGAATTGATCTCAAAGTCTATATTTAGACCATAAGGGGACAATGATTCCATATTAAAAATCCACTTCATCTCATTTTTACTAAGGAGGCTTTCTATATCTCCTCCTCTCCAATGAGTTTTCACAGCCTCTATTCCTATAAATTGAAATCCACTAGTATTTCCTCCATGTACTTCCAAAAAGTGTTTAGAAACATTGTGTAGGGTAAATTTTCTATTTATATTATAAATATGCTCCCTAATCCTTATCTTCAATGTTCTAGATGTCTTCCCGATATACTGTAAACCACAGGGACAAACTATCATGTAAATTACATTTTTTGAATTACATGTTACAAAGGATTTTATCTCATGTATTTTTTTATTCTGAAAAGAAATAAAATTGGTAACCTTTTTATACTTATTTTTACTTAAAATACAGCCTCTACATGTTCCACAATAGTAAAAACCTTTTTCTTTCTTGAACATAGATATGGTTTGGGAGTTTTTTTCTTTATCTAAAAAACTTGAGGTCAAAACTTGCTTAATATTTTTTGCTCCTCTAAAAATCACTTTAGGTTGTGCTCCCAAATATTGATGTATTTCCTGATCTTGTTCTAAGATGTGCCAATTCTTCTTCATAATTTTTTGCAGCTGATTACTATGAGAACTGTAATTAAAAATAACCGGTACAGTCTTATCATTTTCTTTTTGTTCACAGTATAATAATTTTAATTTAATTTATGTGTAAGGAATGTTTTCCCCATTGTTTAAAGGGCTTTTTCTAATGACATATTCTTCCTTCCTTTTTAAATAGGTGAGCAGTACCTCTTTTTATGATTATCTTATGAATTCCATTGATAATATCTGTTAATGTGGGCTTTCCTCTTCTATAGATAAATATATAGAGTGTATGTAAATGTTAAAAGCAAAAATGGATAAAAGACTGGCAATGTTTATGTCAAGAGACTTTTTAAAATGGCGCCGATAACACTTCCGGTTTCGGCGCCCGGAAGACGTCATGACGTAGGGGCCGTTTGGGCAAGGAATAATGATGCAAACGGTAGCGTCATCACGCAACATAACCGGCAGACGCCGAATGATGACGAAAACGGAAGACATACGGGACGCCGAAAAAGGGCGCTAAAATTTGAAGACATAAAAGGAAAAAAATTGGAGATGAGAAACAGACCACTTGAGAAAGGCTGTGAGTGCCGAAACGCGTCGTGGTATAAAGGACATTTGGCCTGTATTTACTACTAGTTTTATTTTCTATGTAGTATTTTAATAATAAAACCAGTTTGGATTTGATTCTGCATCCTGGAGTGATTTCAGAAAGTATTTCCAGCGCGGATCCATTAAGACGTCCAGAATTTAGATTTCTCATCTCCATACAAGCCCTAAGTCTGAGTCAGCTTTTAAAGTGACTCAGCAATATGTGAGTTTAACCAGTCACATAAAAACATTTGCACACATTTTAAACAATATTACACTATGTTCTTGTGTTTTATGTTTTTTTAGATATTTCAACTAAACAAAGTTCTGGTAAAATATTGTATTTGCATGTTTTGAGTGCTCTCACCACAATTTTATATTTTGCCTTTGTTTTAATACTTTTTCTAATAATTTACCACGTGTTTTGCTATAGGAATAAAAGGTTCCTAAGCATTGGTAAGATCTTTGTGCCTCGATATTTAGTAATTGCTGTAAACGCAACAGTTAAATAGTCAATTTATTGAGTAACTAAAGTAACTAAAAGTAGAAAAAGTTCAGTGTACAAAAATTGCGCTTATGGTCAGTAAGGAACTCTATACATAAAAAAGCTGCTACCACACTTATGTGAGTTCCTCCCCAACTGCACACAAAATAAAGCAATGAAGATAAATGTACTAAGTGGTGATCCTACCACACTTACCCTTATACAATAAAGGATATCTCGTACAATATGAGCTGTAATAAAAAAAAAAAAACACTATGGTGCAATAAGGGCTTATATAAAAAATGTGGCAGGATAATAAATAGTGATTCACTCACAAGTGTAGAGCCAAACAGGATAGGCTCAAATTGCTCCGGCATTTGTGTTCTGTGGGGACACTGGCCCTCTTCTGTCTTTATGTTGAACACACTCAAGAATGGAGACAATAAAACACAAGGAAGCCACAGCTTCTAGTGAAGTACGTAGCATTCTTTGCCACTTTCTGTAGGAATTTTATTTGATTTTATTAAAGGACACGGAGGCTCTTATTAGGCTTATCTCTTTCTTTTATTCCTCAGCAGCAAAGAAAGCTAAGGTATTTCTAATATAGAGAAATGGAACAAAGTACCCTCACAGGGTTAACCATTACATCACATATCCTATCCAATAGGAACAGTCCACATATCATATAGTCCCATGCGACCCCCATCTCTTCCTCTTTCTTTGCTGCTGCCTCAGCTAAGTACCACCATTTTGTTACCACTCTGACATGATTTACTGTTCTGTATATTTATCTGCATGTCTGTTTAATTATGCTTGTTAGTTATACTGATTACTCACTCTGTCTCTGTTTGGAGTACTATTTCCTCTTACTGTGCTTCCCCCTTCAGGGGAACCACCTAAGGGGGAATGGCTGCTGATTTCCGTCCCTCCCACCCGCCAGGATGGCTCACCCTTTCTTCCCCGTCGTATTCAGGATAGTTTATTACCCATTTCCTTACACGGATCGTGGCGCCGATCACCCAGACGTGGGACACCCTCTTGGGAACTGTGCGCTCACTCTGGGCCTGGTCCGCGGTCGGGTGCCACTCGCGCATGCGCAGTTGCGTATGCGCAGTCGCGACTGCGCATCGTGATGGCCATATTGTGAGTGGCAAAAATTTGCCACGCTTTTCTCCTGGCTCGCGCGGCCCACTGGGGGGCGGGCACGAGCCGATTGGACAGGGAGGCTGCCTGTCAACTTACCAGTATACCCCAGCGGCCATTCCTGAGGGAACACTCGGTAAGCTGACAGCTCAGTATCTTGTTCTGTGCCTGGCCTGCAGTTTCTTTTGCCTGTCACTACAGTGTATGATTTTAGACTTAAGTCTTGACAGCCAAAATTATACCTACTGTTGTTTGGTCTGTTTGTCCTATAGCCTACTTAACTAGCTCCTGCCTTAATATGCAGACCCCTAAAGTTAACCCACTGATGCAGAGAGTGCCTCCAGGCACCCTTTAACTTCGGAGCCTGGACCCCAATCCAGCCAAGGGGAGGATATTACCCCTATGGAGCAACTTAACTCAGAGGAACTCCATTCCGTCTTGGACACTACCATGACCAGATCGGTCACCCAGGCTATTTACTCCGCTATGGGGACAATGTCAGACACTATATCCCACTCCATTTCTAACGCCATCAGGGCATCTAACTGTAACCCTGACGTGACCCAACCTAAGGCCTCTGAGAGTAAGCCTATAGTGCAGAGCGGCCGTAAAGCCACCGCAAATACAAATCACGTGGGTGCGCGTGCCTCCAAAACTGATTTTACGGACAGGTTGCATCCTGTCAGCATTGAGGTTCGTGGGGCCCCCACGAAAGAGAGCCACCCGCCAGGCAAAAAAGATGCGGACATGGAAAAGGGCAAAAGCCCTATCATACTCATCCGACTTGGATTCGGATTCAGAGGAGGCCTTGAACGAGCCCGATGACATCGGCTCCACTGATTCGGAGGTTTCCTCCAAGGGCCACAGCCTGACACGCAAAACAGCCATACCCGCTGTAGATAACGCGGATACATCCGATATCCTGGACCCACAAGGGGAACCCCTATTTGATCCCAATGAGTTACAAACCCCAAGGTCGGCGGAATGGTTCCCGACCAATCACGTGGCACGCTATATAGCGGCCAGGATCAGGAAACCCCTGGACAAACCCACGGTCCCCGACATGGCCTGCGCTACGCCGGACATAGACCCTAAAGTGGCTCAATTTTGGGGGAAATCCAGCTGGAAGGCGAAAAAGGGGCTTGACTACTCCTTACGCCACCGCCAGGTACTAGACACGTTAGACCCCAGTGCAAAAATATTTGAGATGGTCGAAGCGGCCCTAACTGATGGGACCCCAATTGATGTGTTGGCCATTAGGGGTTGGGTCCAGTGTTCAAGATGCCTTTTCGGCAACGCTAATGCAGCTATGGCTACGGAGCGAAGGAAGGCCATCCTGATAAAAATCGAACCAAAACTGGTGAATATGGCCATATCTGAGCCTGGACCACAGGCAAAAGGGTTTCTCTTCGGAGATACGTTCGTAACGGAGCTGGGTACCTATGTCAGTACCTTTACAGCGTTAGACAAGGCACAAACAAATTTAAAACGAGTGTTCTCTCCCAAAATTTTTGGTGGGGCCGGCAGACACCGGGTCGTCTGTCCGGCCGCTCTTCCCGAGGTTCTTACCGAGGATATCGAGGCCCTGCCACGACCATATTTCAGCCTCCAGAGACCAAACCCCCCTTGCCCTTCTTCCCGGTCAGGGGCAGATCGTGGCAAACACGAGGGACCAGGGGCGTCTCATATGGCCGACGGCCTTATGGTAAGTGTACTACCATCCAATTCCCTGTGTATGTCTATGGTGGGGGGCAGACTGTCTCACTTTATAGTGGCCTGGCACACATTGACCACAG